GCCCGCGGGCAGCCAGAGGCGGTGAGTGCCCCAGCCCTGCTGCTGCTCTGAGTTCTAGAAACACCTGTGGTTTCCGCCTGCCCTGGGTTCTGGGAGGCCGGCCCTGGAGAAGGCGGTGTTCCTCCACAGAACCTGGGGAAGGCTGGAGGCGAGAGAAAGGGCTGTGCTGCCTGAGGACAGGCAGGAGGAGGGGGAGGAGCTGGAGGGAGAGGGGGAGAGGAGCTGGAGGGAGAGGGGGAGGAGGAGGGAGGGTGGGGGAAGAGGAGGGAGGGGGGAGGGAGGGAAGTGGAGGGGCAGAAGGAGCAGGGGAGAAGGGAGAAGAGGCTGGAGGGAGAGGGGGAAGGAGGAGGGAGGGGGGGGGAAGAGGAGGGAAGGGGAGGGGCAGAAGGAGGTGGGAGGGAGATGAAAGGTAAGAGGGGAGCTCAGGAAGCAGCGGGCAGCTAGGATTGACTGGGGTCTCCTTCGGTCTCCGCAGGGGCCTTGCTGCCTACATGCCGGATTACATGGTTCACAAGGAGTTCAACCCCGGCCGGCCCAGTGGGAACTACGAGTTCCGAAGGGGGCCCTTCGACTTCGACGTGAAGACCTTCTGGCAGCGGGAGGCGGAGGAGCTGGACCAGAGGAAGAAGGTGAGGCCCGCAGAGCCTGCCGCGTGGTGGTCTGAGGGTGGGCTGTCACCGCTGGTGCGTCCCCGGGGTTCCTGACGTCACAGGCTCTGACCGTGACCCTGGGACCTCCTGGGGGGCAGGGGCCGCCCCGCCCCCGGCAGGCATTGGTTTCCTCCGGGAAGTCAGCTTCGTACCCGCACCCCTGGGCCCCACCTGACTCCCCCGAGCACAGGCAGCGAGAGCCAGGGTGCAGTGCAGACCCTGGTCACTCACGGCTTGTCTGACCTCTGTGTGGACGTGGGCATGCTGTATGGACAGGCCATGTGGACACGGACAGGCCATGTGGACAGGCTGTGTGGACAGGCAGGCCATTTGGTGCAGACATGCCATGTGGACGAGGTCAGGCCATGTGGATGCGGACAGCCCATGTGGACAGGCCATGTGGACAGCAGGTTGTGTGGATGCAGGCAGGCTGTATGGACAGGTCGTGTGGACGTGGACAGGCCATGTGGACAGGCCGTGTGGACAGCAGGTTGTGTGGATGCAGGCAGGCTGTATGGACAGGCCATGTGGACAGCAGGTTGTGTGGATGCAGGCAGGCTGTATGGACAGGCCGTGTGGACGCGGACAGGCCATGTTGACAGGCCGTGTGGACGAGGTCAGGCCATGTGGATGCGGACAGCCCATGTGGACAGGCCGTGTGGATGCGGGCAGCCCCTGTGGACAGGCCGTGTGGATGCGGGCAGGCTGTATGGACAGACAGCTTGTATGGACGCAGGCAGGCCTTGTAGAGGGGCAGGCCGTATGGTGCAGACGGGCCGTGTGGAGGCGGGTTTTCACTGCACTCAGTCGGTAAACACGGACCAGCTGAGTCACCCCCCGGGCAGGTTGACCTTCAGGAGAAGTCGCCTCCCCCGTGGCCGCACCATGTTCCGGGGCCGCGCCCCGCGCACAGGGCAGCTGGGCGCCCCAGCCTCACGCCCTGACCTTGTCGGGGTTTGACCGTTCTGGCGGGTCCTCCCCTGGTGGTTAAGTGGCGTCTCCTGGCACTGGTGATGCTCCTGCATCCTCTCACGTGCTCCCCTCCCCCAGCACCTTCGTCAGGAAAGCACCTGTCCTGACCTCACCCGCTTTAATTTTTCTTAATTAATTAAATTAACTAATTAATTTAAAAAATCGATTTCAGAGAGGAAGGGAGAGGGAGGGAGAGATTGAAACATCAGCGATGAGAGAGAATTATGGATTGCTTGCCTCCTGCATGCACCCCCCTGGGGATCAAGCCCTGACCGGAATCTAACCGCTGAGCTCCACCGCTGAGCCACCCGGCCGGCTTGGCCCGTTTAAAATCAAGCCTGTGTCCCGGAGGCTGAGAGCCCTGTGTGTGGTCTGGAGACTCCTTTTCCCACACTGAGCCCGGCCTGCGTCTTGTCCCCTGTGAGCACCGTGGCCTCGTGGGCCGTGTGTGTGTGTGTGTGTGGTGTGTGTGTGTGTGTGTGAGAGAGAGAGAGAGAGAGAGAGAGACACGCTGTGCCTGCTGGGACCGTCCACCTTCTCCCTCGGCCCCGGGCTGCTGAGCGCCTTTCCCTGACCAGGCTTATGTTTCTCTCCCAGGTGCGGCTCCCCGCCATCACCTCCAGGTCCCCCAGCAAAGCGGGGACCCCATCGGGCCCCCGAGATCCTGCTGGGAGGCTCTCCTTCCCTCCCATGTGAGTGCCGGGGCGGCCGCACTGGCTTGGTGGGGTTTGGTCTTCGGGTCCAGTGCCAGGGACCAGGAGGCATCCACACGCGGCTCCCGTGGCCGCTGCTGCCTGCTCTCCGCTTCCCTCTCACAGGAAGTGCCTCTTCACGCCCTCAAATGGTGCTGCAACTGATGGGTTAGCTGTCTAATGAGAGAGAGGGGGAGGGAGGGAGGGAGAGAGAGAGGGGGAGGGAGAGAGAGAGAGAGACTGACTCCGTGATGCTTTAGGAACAATAAGCATGTAATTTATTGTCGGGATGTTTGCTGGGAACTGAGAATTGCATTAATCTTGGTGCTTCTGCTTGTCAATTTCTCGCACGCCCAGGCCTGGCCACAAAGCCAGTTCCCCCACCAACTTCTCCAAACTCATCAGCTACGGGTACAGGGATGAGTGGCTGCAGCAGCGAGCCGACGCGGACAGGAGCCCCCCGCAGCCGCCCCCAGCGCCTGAGTCCCCCAAGGACCTCGAGGGGCAGGACGCCGAGCAGCTCCGGGACCCAGAGGCTCCGGAAGGCTCCGTGGAGGCTCAAGGTGAGGTGCACGCAGCCAGCCTGTGCCGGGGGCCTCCCCCGAGGAACGCCCACTGGCCCTGGCCCCACGGGACCCCACGGGACCCCAGGTGGCCGGCCAGTTCTGCTGCCCACACTCCCTCTCTCCACGGCCTGGCCGACACGTGAGCGGTTCCACCAGCTGCTGTGAAAAGTGCACTCTGAGCTTTACAGTGGCGTTGTCCTGGGACGTGTTGTCAGGAAGACAGCCTTTGGCGGGTCTTTAAAGTCACTGTTAGAAGCACTGGTTCTTCTTCGTGACACTGAGCAACGAGCGTGCTTGTTCTTTATTCCAGAATCTTCGCCAGCAAGTGAGTGCTCTTAGGCCGAGTTTGCACTGAAGTACAGCAGCCGCTGGGCACAGAAACCCAGGGGGTTCTCCACCTGCAGCCGAGGCCGCCCGGGGCCCCCTCCTCAACCCACACGCACGCACGCCCGGACGCCGGCCAGACCGCACGCCCTGCACACGTGGCGTGGGGCCGTGAGAGGAGAACCACATGCACTGCTACAACAAGGACATTTTGTTTTGTTTTCATGCACATCACACACATAAAACCCAGTGCAGTTCAGAGATGTGCACCGTGTCCACGCCACGAGGGCTGCAGTAGGGGAACGGCAGGGCCCAGGCCTCACCTGCCTGTGTAGACAGGGGTTTTGGCATCATTTTTGTGCAGCTTCATGGAGAGAATTACTTCTTCACTGACAAAACAGATGACCTCGTCAAGATCTATCATTAAACATCGTATAAGCTTACACACTTTCTTTAAGATAATTTTTTCATTGATGTCCAAGAGGAAGGGAGAGGGAGAGAGAGATAGAAACATCACTGATGAGAGAGAATCGTGGATCGGCTGCCTCCTGCACACCCCTCACTGGGGATGGAGCCTGCCATCCAGGCGGGGCCTGTGCTCTGAATGGGAATCGAACCCTGACCTCCTGGTTCATAGGTCGATGCTCAACCACTGAGCCCCCAGCTGGGCTGGCTTTCCTTTACTGAAAACTAGAGGCCCAGTGCACAAAATTTGTGCACAGGGGTTGGGGGGTCCCCTCAGTCCAGCCTGCACCCTCTCCAGTCTGGGACCCCTGGAGGGATGTCCAACTGCTGCTTTAGGCCGGATTCTGGGGATGGGACCTAAACCAGCAGTCAGACATCCCTCTCACAATCCTGAACCACTGGCTCCCAGTCACTCACCTGCCTGCCTGCCTGCCTGATCGCCCTTCAATGCCTCTGTGTGCCAGCCTAATTGCCCCAATGCCCCCTTGCCAGCCTAATTGCCCCAGCTGCACCCCCCCTTTCCCGCCCCACCTGGTCACTCCTAACTGCCCCTCCCCGCCCACTGACTGCCTGGTCGCCCCACACAACCTGCTTGTTCAGTCCTTTGGTTGTCTCTCACCAACGCCCCTGCCGGCCAGCCATCTTGTGAGGGTGTGAGGGTAGTTTGCACATGGCCTCTATTATTCAGGATTATCGGCTACATGCTCCGCTTCCCGTCGGCTCACCGCTGTGCTCTCTGTTGCAGGTCCAGACTCCCCTCCGGCCGCAGGGACGCCCCCAGAGCTCAAGTAACGAGCCCAGGATGTGGGGGATCACGCGCCGAAGGCTGGATGAGAGCTGACGGTCACGGCTGTGTTTATAAGGCTTCACTCTACGTTACCATATAGATTCCGTGAAATACCCTGTTAGGGCAGATCTGACGTCACTGTTGTGCAGGCGGCGTGAGGGGTGGTGTTTCTCCGTGCATTTCTCTGGGATGCCGACCAGGTGGCCTTTGGGGCGCCATGCCTCCCCCACCACCATGTCCCAGTGTCTGGGACCCACTTCCTCCCCATCACCAGCTGACACCGCCGCCCGCCGTGGGGACCTGTGGCGGTGACGTTGCCATCCATCGAAGGCTGTGCTCAGACCCCCCTAGATTGTTCCTGTAACCTCTGCAGAGGTCACTTTTCCGTTAAAAAAATTAATTCCAGAATATTGGGATGTACTTTATATTGAGAAAAGGGTTAATTTATTAGACCTGAAAGTTTTAAACATTTAATGTAGAAGCACTGGAGCATTTGCAAGTTTTAAATGTTTGTAATTTTTCAATAAACTGAAATTATTCTATTAAACATACATTTTGTCCTTCAAGTAAAAATTTCTTTAATTTCAATATCTAACTTAGTAGTCTTTGCAAAAAATTCTTTTGCAGACTGGCTTCTCTTGTTTTATGAGTGTTGCTGCTGTTTGTATGTAATGAGCATTTTTTATATTTTGTACATTTCATTAGTAAAATAATTTCCTAATGAAAGACCGCCAGGGAGACAAATAAGGTCACAAATATTTTAGCTTCCTTCCTGGAGTAACATATCATGCCCTTGCTCACCTGAAGTTTCAAATTAGTTTTTTAAATGTGATATTAAGTGAGCTCATGTGTCCATATTGTTTGATCAAACCGATGTCCCTGGGGAATGTATGCACATGATAAAGTGCGGTGGCTGTGCGACTGAATAGGAAGAATGTACATTATAATACTCTCCTATTTTCCCTCTTTCTTCCTCTCCTCCTCCTCCCCCCCTCCTTCAGTTCCAACCTCATCCTTAAACATCCCCACCCGAAGAAAAAAAGAAAAATACTGGGAACAGTTATTGATAACATACTACTGTCTTTTTTTTTTTTTTTTTAATAATAGTCAACCTCATACCCATATGGGGACATAAAGTTCATATATAGGGGCTTTTTTTTTAATAATGTTTTTACTGTGTTTTTAAAAATATATATTTTATTGACTTTTTACAGAGACGAAGGGAGAGAGATAGAGAGCTAGAAGCCTCGATGAGAGAGAAACATCGACCAGCCGCCTCCTGCACACCCCCTACTGGGGATGTGCCGGCAACCAACGCACATGCCCTTGATCAGAATCGAACCTGGGACCTTTCAGTCCACAGACCAACGCTCTATCCACTGAGCCAAACCGGGTTCGGCTTTTTTTTTTTTTTTTTTAATGAGGAAGGGAGAGGGGGCGAGATACAGACACATCAATGAGCATCATTGATGGGCTGCCCCCTGCAGGCCCTACTGGGGATCGGAGCAGCGCCGGGCCCTTCAGTCCGATGCGCTCCCCACTGCGCCACACCGGCCAAGGCCAGGGTGACCGCTCCCACCTGACAAGTGCGTCCTCAGTGTCAGGTCTTCCGGTTCTGGGCGGCCTCCCGTCCCTCCCCCTCTCCCCCCGCCCCGCCCGGGCAGGGCCGTGCCGGGGGGCGGGGGGCGGGCGGCGGGCCGGGCGGGGCGTACGTGCCGGGGAGCAGGTGGCGGCGGCCGGTCCGGATCCGGCGGCTCCGCGGCGGCTGAGTCACTTCCTCCGCGCCCGCCGCCGGCTGTGCCCGGGCCCGCGGGAGGCCGGACCCGCTGCCCGCTGCCCGGACACGGCCGCCGCCCGGTCCGCTCCGGCTCCTCGCCCGCCCCCCGCGGCCGCGGAGAGTCCCGGCGCCCGCCCCGGGGGAGGCGATCCGCTGCGCGGCGGGAGGGACCGGGCGGCCGGCCCCGCTGCCCCGCCCGCGCTCCGGGGAGAACCGGGCGGAAGGGGGGCGCCGGGGCGGGGCGGGGAGCGGGGCGCGGCCCGGGGCGGGGCGGGGCGGGGAGGGGCGGGCGGGCCGCGGACTCGGATCCCAATCCCCTTCACTACGGTCACCGCCGGCTCCCCTCCCGGCTCCCCTCCGGCTCCCCTCCGGGTCCACCTCCGGGTCCACCTCCGGGTCCACCTCCGGGTCCACCTCCCGGTCCACCTCCGGGTCCACCTCCCGGTCCACCTCCCGGTCCACCTCCGGCGCCCGGTGTCCCGGCCCCGCGCGCGGCCGGTGCAGAGCTCGGCGGGTGAGTGTCCGGCCCGTCTGCCTGCGGGGCCCCGGGGCGCCCGCCGTTCGCGGGGGAAGTGGGCGCGGGCGGGAGGGGCTGCGGGCGGAGGGAGAGCGCCGGAGTGGGTCCCGGGGGAGGGGGTCCCGGGGAGGAGGTCCCGGGGGAGGGGGTCCCGGGGAGGAGGTCCGGGGTCAGGGAGTCCCGGGTGGGGGTCCGCGGGGAGGAAGGTCCCCGGGGGAGGGGGTCCGCGGAAGGGGGGGTCGGGGGGTCCCGGGGAGGGGGGTCCGCCTGGGGGGGTCCCGGGGAGGGGGTCCTCCTGGGGGGGGGTCCCGCGGGGAGGGGCTGCGGAGAGAGGGTGCTCGGGGGAGGGGGCGCGGGAGGGCGGACTCCTCGCGTCCGCCCACAGCGGCCTCTCCGGGCCTGGGCACTCGGGCGCAGGGGGTGTGGGTCCCGGGCGGTTCCACCTGCGGGGCGGAGGGGCCGGTGGCCGCAGAGCCCCCTCCCCGGCCCGCGCTCTCCACGCCGGCGGGAGGGACCCGGACCCTCCCCGGGCCGTCGCCCCCTGGCCCTGCCCCGGGGGCGCACGGAGAACCCTGTGCGGTGCCTCCTGCCCCCGCTTCTCTGGAGGCACCTGGACTGGACGGCCTTGACCACGCGGACCCTCCCCGCGCCCGGCGTCAGGCCGCGCCCCCGCCCCGCCCGGCCCGCCCGGCCGCACCCGCGGATGCTCCTCACACCGCCTGGGTCCGCGGGGACCTTTGGTTCATTCGTGGCCGGAGCGGCGGCCAGGAGATGGCCATTTCCTTTCAGGGAAACCACGCCCTGCGTCCTCCCGGGCCGCTCCCAGGGTCCCGGCCTGGGCCAGCCTCGTGGGTTTTCTCCGAGGCCGAGGCGGGACACTTCCCTCCTCCGTGGCCCCATCGCGGCGTTCCCTCCGTGCAGCCTGGGTTCCCGCACACGGAGCGCATTTCCCTTAAAACCGATAAGTTAACTTTCTTTACTGGTCTCTGTAAAGCGGACTGTTTGCCTTTCCTGGTTGTGAAGTTAATACTCATTGCAAAAGCAAAAGTAAATAACAAAGTGACCCTCCAGCTTCTTCCTCCTAAGGCGAACACTCGCCGCCCGTGTTCATGCAGAATGCTGTGACCATCTGCTGGGGGGGGGGGGGGGGTGCTGCCCAGACAAGCTGGGGGGCCTGCCTGGCGGCCCTACAAGCCCAGCGGCCTCGCCACCACAGCGACGGGCCGGCGTGAAGCAATCCTGAGGAAGCTGGGCCTCTGCAGAAGGCGAGGGAGCTGCTGCCGGAGCCTTCGGGCTCGGGCCCGCTTCCGGGCAGTGGTCCTTCCTTCCTTCGCCCGTGAGCTCGTAGGAGGCTTGTTCTGGGCCGGACATCCCCCGGGCAGTGGTGAGCTCCTTACCCACAGGAGTGCACCTGTCTGCTTGTACTTTATGGTGATGTTAACTCCCTTTTATTTATTTATCTTTAAATTTATCTTTATTGCTTTCAGAGAGGAAGGGAGAGGGAGGGAGAGAGAGAGAGTCACTGACTGGCTGCCTCCTGCGCCCCCACACTGGGATCAAGCCCGCATCCCGGGCAGGTGACTGACCTCCCTGGTCGGTAACTGAACCGTGACCTCCTGGTTTAACCGCCCCTTTTAACATAAAGGGTATATGATGCCATCGCTAGCAAAACAGGGAGGTTACGAGGTATCCAGGCATTCCAGAGGCTTGTGCTCAGAGATGCAAGAACGCAGCAGGCTTGGTGAAGATCACAGTGCATTGGGGTCAGGGAGGGAGCCGGCCCAGGATGTGACTGCCCGCCACGTGTTAACGCCTGACCGTCCTCTGTGGTCACGTCAGGCCTCTGAGACGGAGCCAGGTTGTCCCCAGGTCAGAGCAGAGGCGCCCAGGAGCGCCCAGCCCGGTCGGAGGGCAGGCCGGATTCAGGACTCGGGCGATCCCGCCGCGGGGAGGAGTCTGAGCATCGTGCATGGTGTTAGGAGGCATGTTCCCTAAAACTGCTGCAGCCAGCACTGCCCTCGGTGCCAGGGTCCAGCCTCGCCCGCTGAGCAGGAGGCTGGGCCGGGCCAAGCTGTCAGTCCTCCGGAAGGTGTCTCAGGACAAAGGGCACACGCAGTGTCCCAGCCCTGGCTGCTCTCGGAGCAGACTTGACAAAAATACGTTTTTATTGACTTCAGAGAGGAAGGGAGGGAGAAACATCAGTGCTGGAGAGAATCGGGGATCGGCGGCCTCCTGCACGCCCGCACTGGGACCGAGCCCACAGGAGCTGGAGAGCATCGTGCTCAGTGAAATAAGCCAGTCAGGAAAGATAAATATCACCCGATCTCACTCAGCTGTGGAGTATAATGAACAACATACACTGATAGACAAAAACAGACCTGGAGACAGGGAAGCATCAATCAGGCTGTCAAACCTCAGAGGGAAGGCAGGGGAGGGGGGAGGAGAGATCGACCAGAGGACTCTATGCATGCATATAGGCCTAACCAACGGACACGGACATCAGGGGGGTGAGTGTGGGAGCCCCTTTCACGTCCGGGTGGTTCAGGGTTCGGGTTCTGGAGAAGGCTGCACACAAGTGATAAAAACTAGAAAAGAGTTAATTTGGGAATCCTGGGGGCCAGGCGGGAGCCCACCTCTGTGGGAGGACTACAGGCTGCTCTGGCCCTGCCATCCCTTTTACTGAGACTCAGGTACACCCATCGCCCTTGGGCAGGAAACGCCAGTAACAGAAAATTACATAAGAGGTGGAGCTGCTTCAGCTGACAGGGTTTCCACCAGGCAGTGAGCGGCCTGGCTCTGACCCTCCAGAGCAGAGGGGGTTGTTGACGATGACCAGTTTCCGGCAGGTGAGGGCATGAGTGGAGGGGCAATGGGGGGGTAAGGACACATAATGCGGTACCTTAATCCAGTGGTCGGCAAACGGCGGCTTCCGAGCCACATGCGGCTCTTTGGCCCCTTGAGTGTGGCTCTTCCACAAAATACGTGCGGGCGCGCACGTACAGTGCGATTGAAACCGCACCAGCCGCGGTCCTCCGGGCAGGCCGGGAGCGCAGCCTGGGCGGCCCTTCCTCCGGGCGGCGCTGAGGCCGGAGGGACGGGGCGGCTGGACGCCCGGCCACGGTCTGCTGGGCCCAGGCCGCCTGCCAGTGTCTGCAGGCTACACGGTCCCGTGACCTGGGACCCTACCAGGGTCACTTCCTCAGGGCTGAGGGGCTCGGCTCTGACGCCCTCACAGGCCGAGCCCGGCCGTGCCTCCAGCCCCCACACGAGCCAGTCGGCAGCGGCCAGCGAGGCTGGGAGCAGAGCCCCTCAGGAGCCCCTGCCCGGCCTCCTCCGGTCCCCTCCCGCCCCCTATCTCCCCTCCCGTCCCCTATCTCCCCTCCCGTCCCCTATCTCCCCTCCCGTCCCCTATCTCCCCTCCTGTCCCCTCCCGTCCCCTCCCGTCCCCTCCTGTCCCCTATCTCCCCTCCTGTCCCCTCCCGTCCCCTATCTCCCCTCCCGTCCCCTATCTCCCCTCCTGTCCCCTCCCGTCCCCTCCCGTCCCCTCCTGTCCCCTATCTCCCCTCCCGTCCCCTATCTCCCCTCCCGTCCCCTCCTGTCCCCTCCCTCCCCTCCTGTCCCCTCCCGTCCCCTCTCTCCCCTCCCGTCCCCTATCTCCCCTCCCGTCCCCTCCCGTCCCCTCCTGTCCCCTATCTCCCCTCCTGTCCCCTATCTCCCCTCCCGTCCCCTATCTCCCCTCCTGTCCCCTCCCATCCCCTCCCGTCCCCTCCTGTCCCCTATCTCCCCTCCTGTCCCCTCCCGTCCCCTATCTCCCCTCCCGTCCCCTATCTCCCCTCCCGTCCCCTCCCGTCCCCTCCCGTCCCCTATCTCCCCTCCCGTCCCCTATCTCCCCTCCCGTCCCCTATCTCCCCTCCCGTCCCCTATCTCCCCTCCCGTCCCCTCCTCCTCCCCCTCCCCGTCCCATCTCCTGTCCCCGATCTCCCCTCCTGCCCCCCCCCGGCCCCTATCTCCCCTCCCGTCCCCTATCTCCCCTCCCGTCCCCTATCTCCCCTCCCGTCCCCTATCTCCCCCCCCGTCCCCTACCTCCCCTCCCGTCCCCTATCTCCCCTCCTGTCCCCTATCTCCCCCTCCCTCCCCTCCCGTCCCCTCTCTCCCCTCCTGTCCCCTATCTCCCCTCCCGTCCCCTATCTCCCCTCCCGTCCCCTATCTCCCCTCCCGTCCCCTATCTCCCCTCCTGTCCCCTATCTCCCCTCCCGTCCCCTCCTGTCCCCTATCTCCCCTCCTGTCCCCTATCTCCCCTCCCGTCCCCTATCTCCCCTCCTGTCCCCTATCTCCCCTCCCGTCCCCTATCTCCCCTCCTGTCCCCTATCTCCCCTCCCGTCCCCTCCTGTCCCCTATCTCCCCTCCTGTCCCCTATCTCCCCTCCCGTCCCCTATCTCCTCTCCTGTCCCCTATCCCCCCCCCCTCCGTCCCCTCCCGTCCCCTATCTCCCCTCCTGTCCCCTATCTCCCCTCCCGTCCCCTATCTCCCCTCCCGTCCCCTCCTGTCCCCTATCTCCCCTCCCGTCCCCTATCTCCCCTCCTGTCCCCTATCTCCCCTCCTGTCCCCTCCCGTCCCCTATCTCCCCTCCTGTCCCCTATCTCCCCTCCCGTCCCCTCCTGTCCCCTATCTCCCCTCCCGTCCCCTCTGTCCCCTCCCGTCCCCTATCTCCCCTCCTGTCCCCTATCTCCCCTCCCATCCCCTATCTCCCCTCTCGTCCCCTATCTCCCCTCTTGTCCCCCTATCTCCCCCTCTGTCCCCTATCTCCCCTCCCATCCCCTATCTCCCCTCCCGTCCCCTATCTCCCCTCCCGTCCCCTCCTGTCCCCTATCTCCCCTCCCGTCCCCTATCTCCCCTCCCGTCCCCTATCTCCCCTCCCGTCCCCTATCTCCCCTCCTGTCCCCTATCTCCCCTCCCGTCCCCTATCTCCCCTCCCGTCCCCTATCTCCCCTCCTGTCCCCTATCTCCCCTCCTGTCCCCTATCTCCCCTCCCGTCCCCTCTGTCCCCTCCCAGGCTCCCAGGCTGGGCTCGCACCAGTGCCCGCTGACTTGCTCGGTGCTCAGGCGCCCTCAGCGTTCTGTGGCTCCGTTGTCCGCCTCACACGGTTCCCCGTTGCCCCAGGTTCCTGCCGCGGCTGCCAGCATGGCCCTCCCGGGAGGTGGCACGGAGGAGCCTGAGCCCCACAGGTGAGCCCCGGGCGGGTTTGGGAGGTGCTGACTCGGGCCTGTGCGAGCGGACGGCGGGACGGGCTGGGGACCGAGATGGCGGGTGCAGAGCCGGTGAAGCCTCTTAAAGTTTCGTTAATGCTCACCCAAGGATGTTTTTCCCACTGGTTTTCAGAGACAGTGGGAGGGAGGGGAGGACGGAGAGAGACAGAGGGAGAAACATCGATGTGAGAGAGATGCATGGATCGGTTGTCTCCCACACCCACCCAGCTGGGGCCAGGGATCGAACCTGCAGCTCAGGGACTTGCCCTCGACTGGGAATCACACCCACGTTCTGTGCCTGAGCCTATGCTCCACGCTGAGCCGCACTGGCCAGGGCCTGTGATCGAGCCTTTTGATATTTGAGAGAGATTCACCAGTGGGCCGCCTCCTGCACGCCCCCTACTGGTTAAGGAGCCCACAACCCGGGCATGGCCTGACCCGGGAATGGAACCAACTGAACGTGACCTCCTGGTTGATGGGTTGGTGCTCCACCCCTGAGCCGCGCTGGTTGGGCAGGCCTTTTGATCCTGGCCATCTTAGGTTCTGGGGTGCTTTCCAGTCCACTCTCAGACTGGGGCCTGGGCATGGGGAGGGGAGAGGGGAGAGGGTAGACAGGCGGCAGAGCCTGGGTGGGGGAGGGTCTGGGGGGGCTGACCTTCCCACCTCGGGCCACACCCCCCCCCCCCCGGGCACCTCGTCGCCGTGCGGCCACGGGACCCGGCGCCCGGCTGACCGCGCTCTCGCAGGGACAGCGAGCGCCCCCTCCAGCTCTGCAACCCGAACATCGCCGCCATGAAGGAGGACATCCTCTACCACTTCAGCCTCAGCACCAGCTCGCACGACCTGCCCGCCATGTTCGGGGACGTGAAGGTGAGGAGCAGGGCTCCCCGGCCTGTCTGCCCAGCCGCCCTGCCGGGCCCGAGTCCACGCCCACAGCCACGGGCTGTCAGATTGTCCCGGGATTGTGTGCCAGCCAGCGAGCGGGAGCAGAAACTGCCCGGGACTGCCCTTGGTCATCGGGGTGTGCTGGGCCGTACGGGGCGGGGGGCGGGGAGGAGGGCGTCTCAGGGGATGGGACACGGCATTGCTGGGGCGGGACAGGCAGAGGCCGCGGGCGGGTGGTCCGAACGGACACGCTCACACGGCTCTGCCGGTCCTTCCCCCGCTCAGTGGCTTTTTCGTCTTCAGAGACTTGGTTCTCTGACCGTTAACTCCGGAAGCTGGCATCTTCCTGGCTTTCCTGTGTAAACAAGACGAAAAGGGAGTTCTCACACGTGGTGACGGCCTGTAGTTTTCCGAGTCCGCCCTCCACGGCCACTTCCCATGCCCCACCAGCCCCGGCGCCCCACGCTGGCCGTTTGCTGCTTGGGTGGTGGTGAGAGGGAGTAGACAGAAGCCGCTTTATTTTGTTATTTATTTTTATTTTTCAAAAATACGTTTTTATTGATTTCAGAGAGGAAGGGAGAGGGAGAGAGAAACATCCACGGTGTGAGAGCATCATTGACCGCTGCCTCCTGCACACCCCACACTAGGGATTGAGCCCTCAATCCGGGCCTGTGCCCTGATCGGGAATCAAACCCTGACCTCCTGGTTCATAGGTCAGTGCTTAACCACTGGGCAACACCAGCTGGGGCCACTGTACAGGCGAGGAGCCGGCGCCGTCCTGGTCCACCCCGGCTCCCAGACTGAGCCGCTGTCTGTGTGCTGCTCAGAGGCCCCAGGCAGGACCCCCGCCCCCCGGGAAGCAGGCCTGGGCCCCTCCAGGGAGCTGGGGCTCTGCTGAGTGTGACCTGCCCCCAGCCAGGCCCCCGGAATCGCCAGGAGGTCCCTGACAGTGTGCTGGGCCAGGGAGCCGCATTTCCAGCAGGTGTCGCCGGGCGGGGGGGGAGGGGGCCTCGCCGACGTGCTGTCTCTGCCCGCAGTTCGTGTGCGTGGGGGGCAGCCCCTCCCGGATGAGTGCCTTCATCCAGTACGTGGCCGCGGAGCTGGGCCTGGGCCGGCCGGGCGAGGAGTACCCCAACATCTGCGCGGGCACCGACCGCTACGCCATGTTCAAAGCAGGGCCCGTGCTGTCCGTCAGCGTGAGTGCCGCCCGGGGGCCGGGAGGACGGGGCGGAATCGGAGGCACCAGGGGCTGGGCCAGCAGGCAGAGCAGGAGCAGGGGGAGCCGGGGAGCAGGGGGAGCGGGCACGGGAGGGCAGCCAGCTGTGGGCGGCCGGCTGTGTGGGTCCTGGGGGCGGCCCTGTGCCTCCCGAGTTGCGTGGTTTTTGGTTTCTGTGCCGAGGCTGGTGCTCTGTGGTGCCGGGGGTGGGGTGGGGGTGGAGGTGGGGATCGGGGTCGGGGTGAGGGTGCGGCAGCCGCGGGCCTGGCGCCCTTTCTCCCGCCAGCATGGCATGGGCATCCCCTCCATCGCCATCATGCTGCATGAGCTGCTCAAGCTGCTGTTCCACGCCCGCTGCTCCGGCGTCACCGCCATCCGCATCGGCACCTCGGGCGGCATAGGTGAGTGGCCGGGCCGGGCCCTGCCTGTTCTTAGAACGCTGCTGGGGGCCCGGCTGGTGTGGCCCAGTGGTGAGCGTCTCGACCTATGAACCGGGAGGTCAGAGTTCAATTCCGGTGAGGGCACATGCCCAGGTTTGGGCTCCATCCCCACTAGGGGGCGAGCAGGAGGCAGCCGGTCTGTGATCCTCTCTCATCCTGGATGTTTCTACCTCCCTCTCCCGTTCTCTGAAATCGGTAAAAACACATATTTAAGGGAAAATTGAAGGTTCCTAGGCTTCGGCGTGTGGTGTGGGGATGGCCGGCTCCTGTGTGTGCTGGGCCCGCCCCCGGCCCCCGCCCCGCCCCCCAGCGGCGGTGACCCGGCCCCCGCCCCCAGGTCTGGAGCCCGGCTCGGTGGTGATCACCCGGCAGGCGGTGGACGCCTGCTTCAGGCCGGAGTTCGAGCAGCTGGTGCTGGGGCGGCGGGTGGTCCGCAGCACGGAGCTGGACGCGCGGCTGGTGCGGGAGCTGGCGCGGTGCGCCGCCCACCTGGACGAGTTCCCCACAGTCGTGGGCAACACCATGTGCACGCTGGACTTCTACGAAGGTGCGGGCCGGCCCCGGGGGGGGGGGGCCGTCTCCGGTCTCACCGCGCTGTCCGCCTCCGCCACGCCTGCCGGAGAGGCGTGTGGGCTCAGGGCGGGCGGCCGGCGGGAGCCCCCTCGCCCCGCGTCCCCAGCATGGCCTCCCCTCGCCCCGCAGGGCAGGGCCGGCTGGACGGGGCGCTGTGCTCCTACACGGAGCAGGACAAGCAGGAGTACCTGCGGGCGGCCCACGCGGCCGGCGTCCGCAACATCGAGATGGAGTCGTCCGTCTTCGCCGCCATGTGCAGCGCCTGCGGCCTCCCAGGTAGGCGGGCACGGGCCGCCCCGCTCCCTCCTCCCGCCCGGCCCGCCTCCCGGGCCCACCCCGCGTCTGCCTCCGCCCGCTTGCCCCAGGCCTGCGCTGGGCGGGGGACCGCCTGTGATGGTCGCAGGGCCGAGGGCAGGGCTCTCAGTGTCTGTGAGTCCCTCAGGTTTTCCGGGCCACGGCCACCACCAGCCCCACACTGGGTCTGGCTTTCAGACTGGGATTTGCATCGGGGAGTGTCCTCCCCACGTCCCCATCCACCCTGCATTGGGGTGTATCCCCCCACGTTCTGGGAACTCGGTGGGGAGTGAAGGCGGAGGAGGAGGAGAGGGCGGGGCAGGCGGGGGCAGGAGGCGGCCCCAGGCCCTCTGTGCTGTCAACATGCCTGTGGGTCCCCAGAGGGCCTGTCTCCAGAGGGATGGCAGGTGGCACCTTGTCTCTTAGGACAGTGGTCGGCAAACTCATTAGTCCACAGAGCCAAATGTCAACAGGACAATGATTGAAATTTCTTTTGAGAGCCAATTTAAAAAAAAAAACAACAACATATATTTTATTGAGTTTTTACAGAGAGGAAGGGAGAGAGATAGTTAGAAACATCGATGAGAGAGAATCATCAGCTGCCTCTTGCACACCCCCTATTGGGGATGTGTCTGCAACCAAGGTACATGCCCTTGACCGGAATCGAACGAGACCCTTCCGTCCGCAGGCTGACGCTCTATCCACTGAGCCAAACTTGTTTCAGCAACAGCCAAATTTTTTAAACTTAAACTTCTCTTAACGCCAGTTCTTCAAAATACACTGGCCTAGGCCTGGTGTTTTGTGGAAGAGCCACACTCGGGGCCAAAGAGCCGCCTGTGGCTCGCGAGCCGCCGTTTGCGGACCCCGGGCCTAGGCTGAGCTGGAAGCCCGCCTTCCCTCTGACTGACCTTTGCCCCCCAGCGGCCGTGGTGTGCGTCACCCTCCTGGACCGCCTGCGGGGGGACCAGATCGGCAGCCCCCACGACGTGCTGGCCGAGTACCAGCAGAGGCCGCAGCGGCTGGTCGGCCACTTCATCAAGAAGAGCCTGGCGGGGGCCGCGGCCCCCGCATCCCGGAGCCGATGCCAGTGAGGTGGCCGCCCAGCCCGCCTGCTCCCCTCCGGCCCCGGGGCGCCCTCATGCCGATCGGCCTGGTTTGGGTTTTCTGTACGAACGTTCCCCTGAAAATGGAGATGTTTTGGGGGAAATGTCAGACTTTTAAACGCTGGTGGTTGTCTGATTTCACATCGCTGAGCACGGAGTCTGCGCCCACGGCCGGAGCAGTCACTTCAGGTAACTTCCAGCCGCGGGCAGCGAGCCCCAGGCAGCTCCGGGGGCCGGGGGGAGTGCCGGGAGCACACGCACACGCGTGTCAGTGGGCCCTGAGCACATGGCTGTGAGCCGAAAATAACATCATGTGTTGCCTCCAGTACACTCCCTGACTGGGGATCGAACCTGCCCCCTTGGGGTGTTGGGGTGACGCTCGAACCAGCTGAGCAGCTGGCCAGGCCAGACTCGGGCTTTCTCTTGGCCCACAGCCCAAGAGGTTATACCCACGTTGTCCTGGGTGACTGGCGGCTGGACTGTGCGGAGACGGGGAGACTGTCAGCCGAGCAGGAGGTGGTAGCCCCTAACCATTGTGCTTCCCAGCCACCCCCTGCACACACAGCTCACTCCTCGCCCACAGCCACCTAACCCGTGTGCCCGCCTAACACGCTGCCACAGGGGTCTGCTCCCCACACACCAGCCGAGGGAGCTGGTCTGTGGGCCTGTGGGTGGGAATGGTCCCCTCGGGAGAGTCAGCCTGGCTCGTGGAACCCACGGCAGAGTGGCCACTCTGGTACTGGGTCCTGTTGTGAGCGCGGAGGAGGGTGGTTCCTGATGTGCCCCGAGGCCCTCGCCCCACCTGTCCTGCTCCCCCGGCTAGTCCAGCTCCGCTCTGGCGGGCCGCTGTGTGACGGGGGTGGGGGGAGGAGTGGGGGGAGAACAGGGCAGTATCAGACCTGTGGTGGTTGCTGTGGGTGTGGTCCAAGCATTCTATAGAAGGCCCTTCCCTGGGGCTCAGAGTCACTCCAAGCCAAGGGTCAGAGGTCAGAGTCGCCCGCCTGACCTCCAAGGAGGAGCCCTCCGTCTGGCCTGAGGCTGCTGTGGAGAAGCTGCCGGACTCTCCCCTCGCCTCCGGCAGCGGCTGTGCTCCACCAGCAGGCTGAGCGGGAGGATGAGCCCTGAGGGCGGGCCGTCCAGGGCCCCGGGGAGCCTGCCCCCTCGAACCTCCGGCCCAGACGCAGGGCCGGACTCTGTCCTCTCGGCCCCAGGCTCCTGTCCCATCCTCCCATCTGCCCCATTCCCAAGCGCCCACACTCAGCTGGGTGTGCCCGTCAGACCTCAGCCCTGCCGGGTGGCCCCGGCTCCATCTGTGTGGTTGTCTTGCCTGGGAGCGGTGGGGGGCTCACCTGGCCTGTGGGCCCTCCCCCCCTGACCAGGCACGTGTGGCCGAGGGACTGGCCACTTCCTGGGAGCTTCCCGTCCCACCTGTGCCGGCAGAGGGGGCACAGGCACTGGGCAGCTGCTCCCAGCCGGAGGGCTGGGCCTCAGGTGCCTCCTCCCAGAACCTGGAGCCAAGGCGGGGCGGCCCGGGGACCAGGGCTCCCAGGGAGGACCTGCAGCTCGAAGCCCGGCCTGCACCACCCTCTGCTGGCCACGGGTGGGACGGCATGTCACCCCACAGGTGCTGCTGCTGTTATGGGATGTAGGGGCGTGAGGCTTAGAGATGACCTCATGGGGCCGGCCGTGCCCAGCACAGGGAGCACCTCGGAACCAAGGAGCTTATTCTGATGGGACAGTGACACCTCTCTCCTGACACCTGGACTCAGAACTCAGTGTGGTTACTAAGGTGACTCGAGGTGACCTTGAGAACAACCTCAAACACGTGTTACCTGGGTTCCTCCCTCTAGAGGGCCCGTCCCTCCCCGCACGGAGTCCTGGCCGGTCCCGCCTCCCTCCCTCCCCAGTGCTGAGAGGCCCTCTAAGAGGGTCAGGTGACAAGGACTGACCTCTCGCTGCCTGGCGGGTCAGAGAGGATCTACCGGGGACGGTTTTGGGTTTGTTCTGATGGAACTAGTCAGGCCGGGTCTGGGGAGCTGAGGGGTGTCGCAGGCACCTTGTCTTCCGTCTGTCCTCGGCGAAGGCAGTGCCAGAACGCCCCCCCCCAACGGTGTCTCCCACCTTGTAATTGGGGGATTGGTGGGAGGGGTCCTGGGGGCGAGGTGTCCAGGCGTAGGTGAAACTGGGGCGAGGCGTTCAGGGCTTTCCACCCAGAGAAAAACAACGCGGCTCAAATGGAAGGTGGGAGTGTGGTTTGGGCCTCGTTGTGCAGAGGGACAGAGGGAACCGTCCTCACTGCCCTCCTGCCTGCCCGCTCTGGTGTGGGTGGCCTTCCTCTCAGCGTTCCCAATGGGTTTTGCGGTTCCTTTATTTTCATAGCGCCGAGGGCACCAGATAGCATGAGAAGATAAAACCTCGTGTTTCTGTCCATTTGTTGTCTTTGGAACAAATAGGCTTTCGCTGCAAGTTGGAATTATGGTTTTCTATTAGAGCGAGGAGACAGGCTAATTCAGATTCAGGAGAAGTGATTGAAACTAGCTGGATGGAATTTCAGTGCCAGAGGAAATGAGTTATTTAAATCACCCAAGAGGTTATTTATTTTTTTTAGGATTTATAAATTACAATTAAATAAGAAACATTTGGGTCACGCAAGTTCTTTCAACTCTAAAACTTCTAATTGCTTTTGCCCATAATTTTAATAAAGCTTTTACACAGAGACAAAGAGACCATTTTACCTGAAATTGCTGAATAATTTACATTTTAATTTTTAAACTGCATTAGCATAACCTTTCAGAGGGACCAGCCGAGTGTGTGTATGTTAATCTCCTACATCCAAGTTTGGGGCATGCTCATGAGGGAGCTAGTCAGCTCTGACCCAGCACATTGGGTTGAACGGTGCGTCCAAGCAGGGATAGCTGAGTGGAGGGAGGGTCTCGGCCCTTCCTGTTCTTTTAAAAATTGATTTCAGGGAGAGGAGGGAGACAGAAACATTGATGAGGAAGAAGTATCTATGGGCTGCCTCCCGCACACCCCCTACTGGGCATGTGCCCTGACTGGGAAGTGAACTGGCCACCTCTCATGATGGGATCACCTTCAGCCACTGAGCAACACCGTCGGGCAGGTCTTGCTGTCCTGGATTTAGCCGGTTCTCTCCGCTGTGTGCCGGCCTGGCCACCTCCCCTCGGACTCCAACCTCGATGGAAGGATCTAGTGGTGTGGCAGGAGAGAAGGGATGGGGTGGCAGGGCAGCAAGGACGATAAGGGGCTGGTCCTATGATCCCTGTCAGCCCATGGGGATGTCCTGGTGCACAGGCCCGGCACAGAGCACCCGGGACCAGCTCTCCTGGGGGCGGCCTCCACGTCAGAGCGGGTCCGAGGAAGTTCCATCCTCAGGGCCTTTCAGGCCACACTGTCTGCCGCTCCGTGTCCTCCGAGCCTGGGGAAGGGGCAGCCAGCCTCAGCCGCCCAGTCAGCCTCCCTGCAGGTGCCCCTGGCCAGCTGAGCAGCGGGGCCCCTTTGCCAGCCGTGAGAACCGGTCCCTGGGGTGGGCATGGCCAGTCCTGCCACAGGCGGAGGTCAACAGACGCCTCTGCTCGCACAGTCCTGACGCTGGTGCTGATGGAGGCAGTCACGTACAGACCTGAGATGGGAGCACCACGGCTGGGCTTTTCCTGATCCTGGATTTTAGGAAAAATGACAGTCCCCGTGGTGGGAAGTGCTGTTCCTGTTCCCGCAAAGGACCGCGTGTGTTACCCGCAAAGGGAACCGGGTAGCAACACTCAGAGGACAGGACGGGCCTGGAGGAGGTGAGGCCAGGGAGACGGCACGGGCACCAGCAGAACCCAAACCGGAGCCTGTGCGTGCGTGGCCGTGTGTGCGTGCCGCCCCCGCCAGGCCGTGGCCCGCGGTGGAGTGGCCGGGGAGCCGGCGGCCGGGAGCGGGCCTGCAGGACAGGCCGTCCCTCTGAGGCCCTGGCCTGCGCGGGGCAGCGCCAGGCGGGACCCAGGCGGGGAAGCGCGTGAGGAGGTGGGTGACCGCACACTCCGGCTGCCCCAGCGGGGCCCAGGAGCCCGGGCGCCGGCTCGGACGCGGTGCCCTCGCTGATGCAGAGGCGGGAACGACGGGGTTCACTGCCCCTTCCCCCAGGGGCTGCGCTCCTCGGGGCCTGCCGCGCCTGCGCCCCCGCCCCCCGCCCCCGGCAGCCCCGGCCCAGCCTGGGGACACGGGGAGGATGGGGTGCGGGGCTGCACGGGCCCAGCCTGGGGGACACGGTGAGGACGGGGTGCGGGGCTGCACGGGCCCAGCCTGGGGACACGGGGAGGACGGGGTGCGGGGCGGCACGGGCCCAGCCTGGGGACACGGGGAGGACGGGGTGCGGGGCGGCACGGGCCCAGCCTGGGGACACGGTGAGGACGGGGTGCGGGGGCTGCACGGGCCCAGCCTGGGGGACACGGTGAGGACAGGGTGCGGGGGCTGCACGGGCCCAGCCTGGGGACGTGGTGAGGACGGGGTGCGGGGCTGCACGGGCCCAGCCTGGGGACGTGGATGGTGAGGACGGGGTGCGGGGGCTGCGGCCAGCGCCTCTGACGTCGAGCCGTCCCTGTGTTCTCCAGAGCCAGACGTCCTCCTCTCCTAGGAGGAGTGGTCCCTCCGGGGCCCAGTGAAACCCGTTCCCAGAGAGGAGAGGCCGGGCTGCGCCCGCACACGGCCTCTGCCCGGCGGGCAGGTGAGGTTTCTCACGGACGCCCAGCAGGACACGCGATGCCGGGGGCGGGGTGGGGGCGGGGCGGGGCGGGGCGGGGCAGTAACCCGCTGGATCGCCCCCTCGGCTGGCGCTGGCTCAGGTTGGGGATGGGCCCGCCGGGTATAAGCGGGCTGCGCTCCCCGCCCAGAGGATGGAGCTCCGGCCCAGACGTGGCATGTGGCCGTCGGGGCGCCCGCTGGGGGCCCTGGTCTGGAAGAACTGGCTGGTCAGGCGCCGGCACCGGGTGAGTGGGCCGCTCCGGGCCGGGCCCCTGGGGGCCTGGGGCCGGGGGCTGCCCTCCCTGCAGGGAACCAGGAGCGGGGTCAGTGCCAGTGGGGAGCTGCCCTCGGGGCCACAGTGGCCGAACCCAGGGCCAA